TGAGAGATCTCACAACCTAGCCATAATGGAAGAAGATATGGAATAATGTTGTTAATATCTTTGATTACTCTTATAGAGCCTACATGGATGTAAGGAGTCCATTTTATTAGACATTTGGAGTTATATTCCAAATCCTACTTATGTGAGAAATCCAGACTTCCCAACCTCGAAAAAGGATCTCATGAATATGGATCTCAATAGGAGGGGCCATCATATTGTTATGTCTAGGTTGTTGATGAAATTTGTGAAAAAGAAGAGAATCAATCTCAAATATTGTTCTCCTAAGCCACCTTAAGACCATATAAATCCCATGGACCTCAGTTGTAATAGGGCGATTAAACTTAGTGTGGCTCATGAAGCCTACTACCTAAGTACCATTACTATCTTGAATCAAGCCACTAGCAGAGGTGTCACTAGGGTTTCCAAGGGTAAATCATCTGTATTAAGCTTATGCCACCTGGTAAGAGGGACAGACCAACTCACACTTGACAAACTATCATGGTTGCCAATGGCAACATATTGTCCTTGTTAGGGGCATGCAATAATGGTTTAGTCTATTTCAATTTAATTCTTTTAAATGAAAAAATTGACCAACTGAAATATAACGCCATTATACCATTACTCCAAAATAACAAAAATGAATGAGACCGAACCAAAAACATGTACTTTTTTCTATCTGATTTTTACTACTCCATTTTTTTTTAAAAAAAGTATTTAATTCTAATCTTCATCTAAATCATTAAAACATTTCAATAAATAAAAACATGCAGTGATGCTCACAAAATTATTACATTCACAACATTCCAATTTCTAAATCATTACATTTAAATCAATTATCATTATACTTTAATAAGAAGATCCAATTATCCAACTAATTATGTTAAACCAATAAAACAAAAAGAGAAAAATCTCATCTAAGTATATTAAATAATTAAAGTTTCATCGTCATAAAAGTTCAAGTGAATCAAGATCATTCAAGTTAATAAAGTTATTATCTTTCTCAAATCTCACTTTACTCTTTCATCCAAGTATGCTGAACAATAAACATTACATCACCATCGTTAATGTTCAATATATTCCATCATTCATCTTAATAAATATCACATGAATAAAAGAGACCATCGGCCATATATCATATATATACTTGTAGTGTAACGGCCCCAGAAATTTAAATGAAGACGTATATATAAAAAATCTTAAATGCGGAAGCGAAATAAAAATTTTGATTAACATCCCTTACACAATAACAAAAAACGTATTCAACATATGAAAGAATAAGCTAATTAAAAGAAATACTCAAAATAAAAACTATAAATAGAACT